CCCCCCCCCCCGGCCTCACCCGCCCCGCTGCACCCCTGCCCCGGTACGGCACTGCCCCGGTGCACAGGGTCTGGTGCTAGGACACAGCCCAAACCCCGGCTGGAGCTGGCGTGTCCCCTCCCCGGCTGGGACGCCGAGCCTCTCCCCACCACCCGCCCAGCCACTGTCTCCGCTCTGCACCGCAGCGAAGCCGCCTTTGCTTGGCCCTGGCTGCAGGCAGGAGGAGCCTGGTGGGCACCGGCCCCAGCATCGCCCCGCGCCCACCCCAGCCACTGCAGCTCTTGGCCCAGCACAAGCGCCCACAGTTCTCGCTCGAGCACCCAGCAGGCGACTCAGCGGGACGTGACACCCGGCGGCACCTGGAAACCACCGCGGACGAGCAGTAAATCCCCGACCCCGGCGTCGCCCGGCGCTGCCCCCCGAGCGAGGCGCTGCCCGGCGCGCTCCTACCTTGTGCCCGCACTCGGTGCTTGTTTGTGCTTTCACTGCCGGCACACCCCGGGCTGGTGGCTTAAAGGATTTTCCTATAATAACCGCCAAATCCGCCCCTGGACAGTAAGCCGCAGACCTGGGCCCTTTCCTAGGTACGGAGCGCTCCACGGTGCTCTGCTCGCTCGCTGCTTTGCATATGCTTCTATCAAACTGGATTTCCCCCCTCCTGACCCAGCCCAGTGCTTAAAAAGCCCTAAATCCCCCTGAATTTCATTTCCCCTTCTGTGCAAGGTCTATCCCCAGTTTCGGTCTCACCCACATGTTTTACATACTCCTGCTTGCAATCCTGACGTGAGCTTTCCGTGAGCTTCGGTGTCCTCCCCGCGGAGGCTGGGTAACCCCTGCTCACAACAGCCACCGCCTCGGCCGGGAAATGAGCCACTGCCCAGTGCGGCCGTGGCTCCGCTCGGGACCCGGCGCTGCCGGAGGCTTCACCCTGGCACCCCCAAGCCACGGCCCCTCGCTGCTGCTGGGGCCAGGCTGGGGATGGGTGCTGCGGCAGCGGGGACGGACCCCTGCCCTGGCAAACCCCCCCCTGCCACCGCGCCCACGGGGTGCTGAGTGCCCCCGAGCTGTTCCTGAGAAAGAAATGACCCAAAGCTGGCCCCAGGGCACGTCCCCCGGAGCAGGGGATGCTTATTCAGTCATGCAAATGACTTCCAGTGGTGGCTCTGCTCCCCCCATAACAATTCTCTCCCGGAGAGGATCTCTGCTGGCAGACAAGGCTCCCCTGGGCGCACACATGCTGCTATGACACACTGTCTTTTTTCACTTCTGTTTTTTGATTTCACAGTAAAAAGTTGATGAAGTTGGAAACTGGCAACTGCAGCAGCTTTCAAGGTTGCAGGCAGCAGCAGAAACAGCACGTTCCTCTGCCTGAAAAGCGCGTTTCGCCTTTAGCTCGTGCCCATGAAGGGGGGGTGCGTGCTTGCGGCGGCACCCAGCAGCGCAGGAGCACCCGCCGCCGTGGGCGGGTGTGTGTGCACACGCCATGCCAGGGTGCACCCGGGTGCTGCGGCGGTGCCCGGCATGGAAGGCGCGCTCCGCGGCTTCCTGCCACCGCCACGCACCGTCCTCGGCCGCCGGCCTGCTCCCCTCGGGGGTGGGCACCGAGCACGCGTGCACGGAGCACAAGATGTGCATGGAGCAGATGTGCATGGAGCAGGGGATGTGCACGGAGCAGATGCGGAGCAGATGTGCATGGAGCAGATGTGCAGGGAGCAGGGAATATGCACGGAGCAGGAGACATGCACAGAGCAGGGGATGTGCATGGAGCAGATGTCCATGGACTGGCTGGGGCTGGAGCAGGAGATGGGCACGGATCGGGGAGAAGGGGTGGAAGGGCTGGCTGGTGCCAGCTACCCTGATTTTAATACAGCATCGTGAACCCTGTTCCCAAATACCGGCCCCTTCGGGAGGGCAGGGAAAACCGGGCGAGGGCTCAGCCTTGGCCCATGAGCTGCAGCAAAGCGGCACCGAGGGCTGTTCCCGAGAGCTGCCCCGCACGTGGTCAGAAGATGCAGGTTTGGTGGGAGCCCGGCAGCCACTGCAGCCGCCCGGGGGGCTCAGCCTGAGCCCGGCAGCAGCACGGGGCGAGCTGGCACGGGGCTAGCTGGCACGGGGCTGCGGAGGCCACGCGTCTCCCAGGGCCCCGTCAGCCTGGCACTGTTTCTCTTGCTCTGAACACAGCGGGTCTGGACCACACGGCTGTTTGCTGGCTTTAATAAGGACGGGCTTGGTGCGGTGACAAGGTAACACAAATTAGGGGCCTGCTGAGCTGGGAAAGTGCCGGTGGTGGCCCACGCTGGTGGAGACAGGTGTGCGTGAAGTCCTCCTGTTGTAATTGGCACCAAACAGCTTGCACAAGGCAGAGGTGCTCAGCCTCGTGGCCTGATCCTGTGTTCGAGACGGCTGCTGGGTCCTGGGAGAGCTGCTGTCGAGCCCTGGCACGGCAGGTCCAGGCCTGAGCCTCACCCAGCCGCGCTGCCCAGACGGGAATGAATGAGGGGACTTTTGTTGGCGCCCAGCACGGCGTGCAGAGCTTGCACCGGGGTGTGCCATGCAAACAGATCCACTGCTTTATTGTGCCCTGCAGAAATGTCCCCGCTTCCTCCCCCAAAATGGGCTCTTTGGCCTTGCAGGTGCCCCACGTCACTTAGCAGCCACCATGACGCTGGCGTACTCGGAGCAGGCTGCGCCGGGGCTCCTGCCGTGCTGCGGGGCCGTGGGCAGGGGCTGGAGATCGGCGTAGTGGATGGCGTTGTCCTCCTTGCTGCTTTGCTGCAGAAATGCACACAAATGGTGAATGCTGTCACAAGAAAAATCTTGCAAAAATAACCCTAACGGCAGGTTCCAGCCGGGATGGCGGTGTCACGGCTGCACAGATGGCCCCGCGCCGTGGTGCGGAGCGTGCTGGCACCGCATGCAGGCGGCTGCTGCTCGCCCAATGCCCACCCTGGCCTCCCAGCCCAGCTCGCTCGTACCTGGCTGGGCAGATGTGAGGTCTCCGGACCCAGGCCTTCGCTGCTGGAGGGAAGGACGGCCATTAGGGCTAAAGGCAGCCAGGTCCCCTCCCCACCCAGGTCGGCCCTCCTCAATTCCCCTCCCGAATCGTAGCCGGGCTCTGCGGCACGTGGCCACACGTGATGCCCCCGCTGAAGGCGGAGGAGAAGCTCGCTCGTACCTGGCTGGGCAGATGTGAGGTCTCCGGACCCAGGCCTTCGCTGCTGGAGGGAAGGACGGCCATTAGGGCTAAAGGCAGCCAGGTCCCCTCCCCACCCAGGTCGGCCCTCCTCAATTCCCCTCCCGAATCGTAGCCGGGCTCTGCGGCACGTGGCCACACGTGATGCCCCCGCTGAAGGCGGAGGAGAGGGACGAGGTGCTGTCTGCGTGCCTGGGCCAGGCTCGGACACCACGGTGAGGGGCTGCAGGGAGCTCCCCGGTGCTGGGCGCTCCCATGAAACGCAGAGAGAAGCAACGCAGCGCAGCGCCGCGCCTGTGAGCAAAGGACCTTTTCTGGGGAAAATTACTGCTCCAGAGGAAGAGGAAACCAGGATAAGGCAGGTGGATAAGGCGGTTCGCTCACCTCAGGGTGCAGAAGGAAGACGTGGTGGGTACAAACCTGGGGGTGCTGGGGGTCCCTGCACAGCACGGCAGAGGGATGGGCGAGGAGCGGCGCACGGCCGCTGGCCCAGCCAGGCGCTGGCTCGCCGCCTCGCCTCTGCGCTTCCTCCTGTACATGCAAATGGCGATGAAGAGGCTGAGGAGGAGGAAGCAGAGCACTACAGCTGCAGCCACCAGGCTGAGAAGCAGGGTTGTCCCTGTGGAGACACAAGGCAGAGCAGGGAGAGGGTGGTGGGCACGGGGCAGCACGGGACCCCGTCACGGGCAGGGCAGGGGCCGTGGGATGGGGTCCCCGGGAGCAGCGTCCCACTGGGCTGCACTCACCGTACAGGGACACCTCCGTGCCTTTTCCATGCTGAAACACCTCAGCACCGTCCAGCGATCTGTTGAACTTCACGCAGTAATAGGTGCCAGCATCCTCGGGCTGAAAATCCCTGATGCGGATGCTGAAGTCCGTGTTGGACTCAGCCACTACCCTCGTCACGCGGGCGAAGGAGCCCGTCTGGTCATAGACGGTCTGGTTCCCACTGCCCCAGCCCTTCAGCCACGCCACAGGACCAGCGGGACCATCTCCAGACGTGGTGCAGATCAGGCTGAGCGTCTGCCCCGCTGCCACCGACACCTTGTCCTGGGGCTGATGCAGCTGGAAGCCCTGACCCGCCGGGGCACCCGCACCTGGGCACAGCGACAGGAGGGCAGGGGCTGAGCGACGGAGCGAGGTCAGGGCTTGCTCCGCTCACCCCGAGCGGCGCGGGCAGAGCGGCCCCAGCTTGCTCCCAGTTTGCAGCCCGTACAGCTGAGAAATACCCCTGCATATGGCAGAGACAAACCACAGGCACTGGGTGCGGCTGAAGCCGGGTTCAAAATGAAGACGGAGCAAATTTGCATCCCCGGTCGTGCTGTGCACGCGAGGCGCTGCGGGTGCCCGCGTCCGGAGAGGTACAGAGGGAGCCAAGGGGAATTCCTGGCAGGAAAAACTCCCGAGCGCTGTTAAACATTAATGCCCAGCTCTGCACAACACGAGCCAGGAACACCGGGGCTCTGCACGGCAGCGGGGTTCACAGCCCAGGGCTGTCGCAGCCGGCCGGGAGCTGGCTCGGAGCGGGGATGCAGAGGCCTGGGGCCGGGGCAGTCCCAAACCCCTCCTGCCCGGAGCCCCCCCGTTCCCTTCGGCACCGGCTCACCGGGGCTCGGCACTAAACCCCCCGGGGCTCGGCTCTGCACCCCCGGACCTCGGCTCTGCACCGCCGGGGCTCGGCTTTGCTCACCCCGGGCTCGGCTTTGCACCCCCGGAGCTCGGCTAAGCTCGCCCCGTGCTCGGCACTAAACCCCCCGTGCTCGACTCTGCACCCCCGGGGCTCAGCTTTGCTCGCCCCGTGCTCGGCGCTGCACCCCCGGGGCTCGGCGCTGCACCCCCGGGGCTCGGCACTAAAACCCTGCACCCCC